TGGCCCCCGGCTCCAAGCTCCGCAGCACAGACCCGGCCCTGGCCCCCAGCTCCGTGGCCCCCCTCTGCAGCACACTGTGAGAGGCTGACTCTTTCCTTTCCCTGCTAGGTGAGGGACAGCCTGTCCCAGGAGCCACCTGACGATGAGCCGATTGCGTACGAGGAACTGGAAGGGCAGTGCAGAACCAGCTATGGGTACCCCTCCCGTGCCAGCGCCAGCCCCCCCAGCATGCTGCCAGCTGCTCTCATCGTCCCCCTCCTTTACTCCCTCCTCCTGTAGAGCTCTGGAAGCAGAGCCCCCCGCTTGCCCAGACCCCCCCTTCTCACTTCTGAGCCAGCCCGGCGGGCGGGGTGTGTGTGTGCCGGGGACTCCCCACCGCTCTGGGGCTGGCCCTGAAGGGGAGCCGAGCAGGCCACTGCTGCCCCGCCGGCTCCCAGGCTCACGGGGCCCACAGCGGGTGAGGTTCAGTTGTCCTGGCAGGACACAGGCTGCCATGATCGAAGCCGGGTTAAATGGCCAAGCCCCAGCCTAGGCCCCCCTGTTCACCTCTGGCCAGTGGGCAACCTGGGCCTCCATGCGGCTTTTCCTGGGGGTTGAACCCACGCAGCTGAGCTAACACGACTTAACCCTGTCCCCACCCCCACCTGCCCTTTGGCACCCGCAATCCTGAATTAAAGCTGAGTCTCCGCTCCCTGCTGTCTGTCGAGTCTATGAACTAGGACCAGCCACACCTCCCCAAAGCCAGCCCCCAGCTTTCCGCCGGGCTGAAGGCAGGAGCAGGCCATGGCTCCTGGTTAAAAGCCCCTTTAGGAGAGTCCTTTATCCTGGTCCTTCCCAAGACAAAGCTCGGTGGCCCCGGAGCAGAGCCCGCCTGTGGCACCAGAGGTGTAGCCGAGAAGCCCTTGGGGCTGCAGGGCTGGGGTGGGAGAAGAGCCCGCGCCGGGGCCAGCTGCAAGTGCGGAGCAGTGGGGATCTGTGGCAGCCGTTACCGGTGAAGGCACTGTGCAGCCGTTAATCATTAGCTAATTAGCTGGCCAATCAAACATCCTGTTAGCAATTTCCTCTAACATTTAAAGAACAGCCTGTCTTTACCGCGGAGGCGGCAGCGGGCACCTGGTAAACAGGCCTGCAAAAGCGAGCTATCTTCCTGTTGCCTTTGCACGTTGGCTGCGGTCCAGAGCCCCCACCTGCCAGCGAAACTGGCAAGGATACATAGCGATCCTGGGCCTCCGCCTACCCCTCACCAGGCCTCCCAGCCGGGCCCCTTCCCTCCAGAGAGGCAGGCACCGGAGCCTTCTACCCCAGCTGCAAGATGGAGGAGCGGGGGGCTCAGGAGCCAGCTGACTGGATAGTGGCCCTTTCATCCCCTATTCAAACCCAGCCTGGCTCAGGGGCCTGATGGTGGGGGTGCGGGACCCATCACTGCTCAGCCCAGAGTGGGGGGCTAAACGGGTTGAGTCAGGCTCAAAGTTCACCCACCTCCCCCGGAAGCCATGCTGGTGCTTTCACCAAGTGCCCAGGCCATGGGACAAGCCAGCAGGGCGCAAGCTGCCTCTGGAAAGAGAGAGCTAGGGCTGAAACCCCCCACAACACAGGGGTAGTATTCCCCTGGAGGGGCCAGAATGCCAGAGCTGAGGCCTGGAGCCCTCCAGTATCTGCAGAGCAGGGACCCGCCTGAGCCTGGCAGTGCCGGCGTCCCCAGGCCGTCCGCCCGTGAAGGGATGCCCTCAGCTGGGCCATGCTGCATGTACTGGGAGCTGAAGGCACCAACTCCTACTGATGCGGGATTTGGCCCTTCAGTTTGACGGTCCATGCTGACCCTAGCGGCCTCCTGCAGAAGTGGCAGCGGTGGCTCTCCGAGCCTGCCCGCCGGGGGGGGCCTTGTTCCCTGCACCGGTTGACACAGACCTCGCTCGGTTATGGATGAGCTTTGCTGGCCTAGAGAGTTCTCTGCATTGCCAACCCCCGTTTGCAGGGCTGGGGAACTGGCGCTGGGCACCAGTCAGACGGAGGGTAACAAGGAACAGGGAGCTAGCCCCAGGATCAGTGGATAAAGCCTGCAGCACCCGCTCTTGGTTACAAGCCAGATAAGGCACCAACTCTGCACACCATTTCCAGGAGGGGCCAAGAAAAAGTTCTCTCGAGGGCTGCCTGCGAGACCGGGCTCTTGATAAACATCCCGCAAGGCTCAAGTGCCTGCTGCAGCAGAGTGTTGGACGCAACAGGTTGAGAGGGTCAGTTCTGGTTCTGCTATGGAAGAGGAAGAAGTTGCAGCATGCAGCCTCCTGGGCTCTGTAGCCAGCACTGGGAGAGGCTGCTGAGCGAGGCAGCAGGAGAGAAGCGCATTGCTTAGCAGAGGGCTCCCCTGCGTGGTACAGCGAATTGCAGCACCCACTACACTGCCTGTGAGGAGCAAGGCATGGTGGGGAGGGTTCTCTCCCCATCTATGGCAGCATGCTAGAGGACAGGGGGCTGCCTGGATCTTTCGTAACAGTTCCAGAAATCAGAGCTGGAGAAGATAGGTTAGGACTCCCCCCGTCCAGCCCCTGGAGCCAGGGCACAACTCTTCCTTACAACGTTTGCTAGTGCTTGGCCAAGCCCGTTTTTAGGCAGAGTCCAAGCCAGGTAAATCTAGCATCAAAAGAAGAGGGGCTTGGGGGGGGAAGGGCCAGAAAGCTCCATGTCACCCTAGGAACAGGAGCAGCCTGACAAGAGCCCATTGAGAGGCAGGGCTGGTGGATTCCCTCCCCGAGCCGGTGTCAGACTGAGAACAGGCAGTGTCGGGCCCTCCAGAACCCAGCAGCTGTGCCACGAGACCCGAGACCAGCACAGGGCATTTGCTTCTCCTACCCAGGCCGCTTCCCACCTCTGCCGTGACGGCTCCACAGCTCAGCGGAGCCCTGGGCAGAAGCTGGCGCTTCATGGAACGCCGACAGGCTGGGAGGCTGATTTTCAGGACAGTTCCTTTATTTAAAACGGCAGAGTGGACTTGACAGTGTTCATTTCAAAACCAGCAAAGGAAAGCAGCGTTGTGAAAACACACAGACAGCACCGCACGGAAAGAATAGGCTCATTTACAGAGGGCAGGATCTCCTCCCCAGGGCAAAGGCCGGGCCGACCCCTTCTGATTTCACCCAGCTGCCAGGAGAGGAGCTGGGCAGGGGTAAGCCATTTCCACAAGGTGGGGGGGGGGGGAGCGGGAGAGGGCTAGGGCTAGTGCTCGCTGTGCCTCCTGCAAACACTCCAGCTGGGTGGAACAAGATGTTCACAGTTGCCCCAGGTCAGCCTGCCCTGCAACCCATTAAATGCCTCCCCCTGGGGTTGCCCTGGAAAGCTCTGCTCAGATTTTCAGGGGGGCTCCTGCGTTTTACCCACCTGGGTCTGACTGAGGCACAGAGACCAAACACCTGGTCACAAGCAAGTCCGGGACTCCGCCAGGATTAGAAACAAAGCCCCTCGGCTCACCTACAGTCCCAGCTTCCTCCTCAGTCCGGGAAAGGAGCCTGCGTCTCCTCTGTCACCGTGGGGGGGGGCGGCCACAGCTGGGCTCAAACAGCCCAGCTCAGGGTAATCGCAAATGTGCATCTTCCAAGGCCATGAGACGCGGAGGGAAAATATCGAGAGATGTCGAAGTGTGTCCGCACGCAAGTGCTGCAGAACCCCCAGCCTTTTGACTTCTTCTGTACTCCATACTCCAGCGACATGCCTTCTGCACTGAGAGTGGCAAGGCCAGCCACCGTCAGGCACCAGGCTGCACCGGATGCTCTCAGGGGCAAGGGTGATGGGGAGTGTGTCTGATGCCATCTGCCTCCCCTGCTCCCCAAAGCAGGGATTTCTTGCCTCCTAACCAAAGAGAAGCAGGTCCCTTAGCACATCTGTGAGAAGCTACTGAACACTTACCACCTAGAGACACTTAAACCAGCACTCCAGCCCCAGAGCTGTTCATCACAGTAACCACTCCCTATTTTAGCTGCCATGTTGCTGGGTATGCCAGATGTGCTCTGCATTGACTCTGGCACAGTGGTACCAGACTCCCAGCACATGGCAGCTAGCGTGGAGCCAGCAGGGATGGGGGTTAAAACTCCTCTGAATGGGAACCTGGCTCCGTTCCCCTCCCACCCAGCAGCAAGCTGGGCTCAGATCTCCCCTCGCTCCCTCCCACTCCCGGGGCCCTGGGCTGAAGAGGAGGCTGAGTGTGAGAAGTGACACCTTACGCCTCCCAAAGCTCTCACGCCTGGGGCTGAGGGAAGTGTGTGTGTGTGTGGGGGGGCAATCCTTCCTTCTCAGCCTGGCTCCTGGGCCTGCAGTGTGGACTGGGTTAAAGGAAGTGAGGAGCTTACACTCAGTCATCAGTGGAGCTGGGGCATCTGGTCAGTGTCAGCACTAAGGAAGGGAGCGGGGGCGGGGGAAAGAGACCCAAGAGGTAAAGGCAACAGAGGTATTTAGGAGGGAAGCACAACATCCGCTGGGACAGTGGAGACATCCTCACCATTCACAGGAGGGGCTGGACGTTTGCTCCGCTGCCGTGCTGCCAGCGACAGAGCTTGGAGACAGACCACTCCCCAGCATTCCCAGCAGACAGCGCTGCACCTTGAACGCTGCCCGGCTAGAGCAGCTCAGGACAGCTTCGCTCGCTGGGGTGGCATGCATGAAGAATCCCAGCTCGCCTGGCCAGATCTCAGTGGTCACAGCGTGTGGTTGTGGAGGCAAACTTCTCAAAGGTCACTTAACGGTGAGAAAATCCAGTGCGGGCAACGTGACAAGCAGTGCCAGGGCTAAGTTGGCAAAGCGAGATCCCTGCATGCTGGGCATCACACTGGGGTCCCTATCGTCTCAATGCTATGGGCGCTGCACCAGGGACTAGCAGATAACTGGGAATATGGACGTTAGAGTAAGAGATGCCACTACATAGATTTGTGCCTTTCATCCAAGGCAGCTGCCTCACCCATGAAACACTACCAACGTGCATGTACGCCCCGGGCGGGCACCCCTCCCCCCAGCTACAACATGCAGTGGGGAAGAAAGGGGCTTGGATGGAAATGGGAAGGATTCATGGCACTACCTGCTGCAAGCTGTTAGTAGAGGGTCGCCCACAGCAAAGCCCACTGTAGCTAAGAGAGCCAATGTACAGGCTGTGGAGAGAAAGATGCACTACACATTTGCTAGAGATACAGCCATCCGGAGATGGTCAGGCACCCAGTGTCCCATCAGAACATGCACTTCCCCTTTCAACAAGATCTCCATGTAGTGTTAGAATCACTCCCCCTAGAGCCCAGGATGCAGAGAGGGAGTGGTAGCGCTGCTTTAAAGACAAGAGCCCTGAACACTCTGCCGCCAAAGCCCAGAGCAAGATCACGCTCATTCGGCAAACCTCCCTCCAACATCTCTTCCTGCTGCCTCTTCAGGAAGTAGTCATCATAGAAAAAGACCAAAGAGTCCACCGCAGAAGAGCAGGCTGCTGAAGGAGTGGCTTGCTGGTTCTGGTTTTGCTAGCAGAAGGCCAGAGCAGGGATGGAGTGGGAGCTTTGGGGGGGGTCTCCCGCATCTCCCCACTCGATGCACAATCAGTAGGGGAACAGTGATCATCCAGAACAATGGGAGACTTTAATTCCGCAAGGCAGCCAATCTGGAAGAAACAGCACAAGAGAGTCAAACAGGAGCACGGAACGCGGGAGCTGCTTCCAAGTGAACCCAGAGAGCACGGGAGGAGCTTTCTGGAGAACTGGGCAAGGCGGGGGGCACTACGCCCAGTGATGGAATGAGTCTGAACCGGGGAGGAGGCGGTTTGCACGGACAGAAGTCCCCCCCCGGAGCACGGATAACAATTTACGTTCTAGCGGGTGAGTTACCAGCACCTTCCAATACAGCCAATGCATTTCCTGCGCTCAGGCCAGAGCGGCCCCAGCAGCGTGTTTAACAGCACGGCAATGCGACGCCACCGGCCAGGAAGGGACAAGTGTGATTCCGCAGGAGCCCAAAGAGACCCGGGGTTCAGCACATGCACCAACACTCCCTGCAGCACGGGGGGGTGGGGGGGCAGTGCGAACTCTGACCTCAGCAGACAGAGCAGCAGGCGCACTGCAAGCACGTGGGAGGATGGGGAGAAAGCCTCTGTGCTGGAAACACCTTTGGGCTCAGATGGGACACAGGACAAGCCCCTTCCAGCCGCCGGAGGGCAGTATCAGGCAGGGCTTTGTGCGGAAACAGTTGGGCTGGTTCCTGGGGAGGGTCTGGAATAGCGCTTAGAGCGCAGAGGGAGTTTAAGGAAAGGCTGGATGCTCCGTTTGTCATCTCATAACCTATCTGATGGCCCCACGAGCGAGGAGAAAGAACAGCATCTCCCTCCATCGCAGAGCCCTGGAGCCAGGACCACGCCATCTTGTGTGTGTGCGGCATGGAAGACACTCAGTCATCTTCAGCAAGAGGCACCTTCCAGCCGCACCACACAATGCAGCCAGGGGAGGGTCTCCATTTCTCAGGGTCCGTAAAACGCCTCCCACTCTGAGGACACCCCTCAGCTCACACCAGACCCACCGCTCCTCTCCGTGCTTCAGACAGCCCAAAGCGAGAGAACCTGGAGAGAGTCTGGCAGCTGTGCAATGACTTCTGGGAAAGGACGGGGGCGAGAGGGGGCAAAGGGAGCTCTGTACAGCCAGGAACTGCAGGGCTCTGTTCTCGGAGGGGCCCTCTCACGGTAGCTGCATGCAGAGCTGCAGGGACGGGGAGGAGGAAGAGGAGCTCACCAGCAATAGGAGGTGGCCTCAAGCCTCTTCTGGGGAGGTTCCAGAGAGACAGCCTGTTTGAAGGTCAGTGCCAAGCACGCCCAGAGCAGCATCACCTGCGCAAGGCAAGCACGGGCCAGGAGCACTCCCACCATCTGGTTACTGAGCTGAGCAAGCAACACCTTCTACCACCTCCACTCCCCAGTGCTCCCCAACACCCATTGCTAGTAGAATCAGGAAGCCCCTCTCCTCTGTGGAGCACGACGAGGTACGCTGCCTGTACGTGGCTCCCCTGGAGCTGTGCTAGGCTCCACCATGCATGGGGACGCGAGAGCCCAGAGGTTGCTCCAACAGCTGGCTTTCCTCCCAGCCACCTGTTGGGCAGTTCAAGCTCCCAGGAACAGGAAGCCCAGGGACACAATCACACCAAGGGACGTGGGGGAGGAAAAGGGGGAGAGAAAGAACCTTCGGGACAGCTGGTCTTCCTGGGTGCGGACGGAGCTCTCCCCCACTGCCGAAGCCCCCTCGGGGAGCTGATTGAGTTGGTCCATGATCTCCAAGCCATTCTCCTCGGCAATCTGCACGATGAGGCTGTCCACCTGCTCCTGCGGCGTGGTCAGGGTGGTAGCAGAGCTCATGGAGTCCTCCATCACCTACAATGGGCAGAGTCAGTATCTGAAGCAGAGCCACCATCTGGCTCCATTGAAGAACCTACCCAGCCCACGTTCCTGCCTGTAGGAGCCCGTTACAGATCTTGAGTTTGGCCCACTGCTCCCCTCCCCAGAGGGTTCTCCACATCCTTGTCAGCCAGACAGCTAGGCCTCAGGACAGGAGGATGGGTTGGAGCCAGAGAGATCCTGAAGCCCCTAGACATCAGTGTACCGCCCGGCACCTAGCTGTATGAAGAGTTATGGACCCCATCTGTTCATGTTAGCCCCCACCCTGCCTTAGGTTCTCAGTGAAGCTTTCAGATACTGTAGATATGGTCAGACACTTGCACCAGGGGCTTCTCCTTGCCATCAGATTCAGGGGCAGCTCTCTTATCCTGGTTCGAGACACTGCCCATCCAGGGTCAAGGCAATATTCAAGAATGAGCTCAAGGCCAGCTCTACTTGGGAGCATGGGACGTTCTAGACTGCTCCCAGACTGATCAGGTCAAAGGTTGATCGAAACAGAACATGAGGTACAATCACTCATGTGGCCCAGCCCCTTGAGCATGCTGGGGGGAGCGGGGAAATCAAACAAGCCAGAGACCATCATGATGAGAAGAATGGATTGGCCTGTGTGTGAGGCACTGGACTGTGACTCAGGAGCTCTGGGTTCAGTTCCTAGCTCTAACAGACTCCCCATGTGATCTGGGGCAAGTCACCTAGTTGCTAGTCTGTACCATTACTCCTGGGGGAATTCTGCCCCACTACGCACGTGCAGAATTCATATCCCCCGCAGATTTTTTTTCTCCACAGAAAATGGATTCTATCAGAGAGGCACTGCAGTTACACCTTTCACCCACCAGGGGCTGCTGTGGCACCAGAAAAGAGGGAGACTGGAGCAGCCAGCCGTGGAGAGGGAGGAGAGAAGGCTGCTTTCCTCATAGTGTCCTGCCTCAGGGCCAGGTGAGGAGGCATGGGATATGGGGGCATGGACAGCACGGGGCACACAGGGCTGCTGTGGGGGGTCACAGACTGGGGCTCAGAAGGGCTAGTGGAGGTGGCACAGGCACTAGTGGGGTGACAGCATTGAACTGGGGCTGAATGGGAGTGGGGGTGCAGGACCACATGGGGACGGGGCAGATGTGCCTGACTGAGTGAGAGGCTAGGGGTCAGCCAGGGTCTGCACAGGGGAGGCTCCCCAACTCCCTAACAATCCCTTCCCCCCGCAAAAAAACCCGTTCCATACTTCTCCCACCCACACTGAACAATCATTCCAGTTCGCTACCAGGCTTCTTCCCAGCAACTACTTCCTTCTCCCACATCTCCTCCGTTACCCCGACTCCCCGAACCCTTTGCACTGCTTCTGAGGGGTGCGGGAAATACGTTTCTGTAGTGTGGTTTAAATGAATTATTACTGAATGTTCTGTATCAATATGCCTAGGGAGGAATCTAATTGTCAAAAAACATTTCCTGAATCTTTTTTGTTGTCTGCATTGTTACAGACATACTTGCTGATGGGTATTTTGAAATAAATTATGACAATAATTGAAAGCAGTGTGATTATATTGTGTTATTTTGAAAAATAAAATAAGCAGAATTTTGCTACATTTTAAAATATTGTGTGCAGAATTTTTAGGCACAGAATTCCCCCAAGAATATGCCATGGGGACAAGACTTTCCGCACCCTTCGTCTGAGTGTCTGCCTGCTCTGATCACAAGCTCTTTGGGATAGAGACTCTCTATGTGCAGCTCCTAACCCTAACCCTAACCCTGATCTTCCTTGATGAGCTACTATAGACCAGAGCTCTGGAAACAACCGAGCCATTAATCCAAAGACCACATCTGGGAGCCCGGGAAGGGCCTTGTGTCTGAGCCCATGATGGTGGGGCGATACAGTTCTCTCTGCTCCACCCCCCAGCCTCCAACGAATACAATTCTTCCCGCAGCCCACCAGTCTACCCCCAGGCGAGCGAGTGCCCAGCACTTACCGAGGTGTGAACATCCAAGTTCTGAACCTGGTGCTCAAATTTATCCATCACCGCCGAGACCTTCTGCAGGTCCATGGAGCTCAGAGCTTTGTCCAAGGCCTTGGTCACCTGAGCCATATTTTTAGTCACCTGTAACAGGAGGTTGGAAAATATACACACCAAACACACAAATGTTCCCAAGCCTGGCCACAAGCAATTCAGTGTTACTGGCATTTCCACCACAGGGGCCTCAGTCTGCACAGGTCAGCGACGTCCTGCCGGGAATAGCGGGGACTCTCAGCTCAGATTGGCCGCAGGGCTTTAGAATTGTGCACATGCAACCGAAGGCACGAATACTGAAAATGCACATGCAAGAGATCCGCTAGCCTTCTAGCTGTCACTGTGCACATCGGAATTGCACCTGGCATCTACTGCACGCACACACGACACACACGCATCGTTTTCATATACAGCCCTGGAAGTCTGCCCTTTAACAGTACAGAGGCAACTTCACCATGACAGTCACATGAAAATAGTAACCATGCCCATGAGCTCTTCTATGCAAGGGCTTCATGCATTTTTAGCGCCTCCTCCTGCTATTTCTCCACTGAACCCTTTGGTGTTCAGACCGGAAATGTTACTCCCAACGTTAGTACAAACACCGTGAAGACAGGAGCTCCAGCCCACAGGCGCAATGTGCTTCAGGGGCTGTTCTTGCTGCCCGTCCTCTCTCTAAGCGGAGCCACATAACTCCAGGAAGTCCAGGTGGGACTCCAGTGTTGGTCATGTGGCTCACAGTGAAGAGAGATTTCAGACAGAATCCGAAGAGGGAACAAGCATCTTCAGCTCCCAGCAAAATCAAAAGGACTTGAGAGTGCTCAGTACCTTGCAGAAGAGAACTCGAACCCCCAATTCCCTGCACACAAGCATGCATGGACACATGGCTAAGGCAGGGGGGTGATTCCAGGCACACACCTTCCAGGCCTGCAGACTTGGGCTCAAATATGGATGAAGCCACAAATGAAGCAAGTTTGAGGGTCTCATTTCTGGTCCCCAGTGAAATGTACTGGCCACATCACAAGGCAATGAGAGACACACACTGGCATTTCAGCAGCTGTGGCAGTCTCTGCCAATGCCCAGTCTAGCTCCGGGCCCTGACCAAATCCCAGTTTGGGGGTGGGAGGTGTCATAGCGCTTGCCAACACTACAGCCCAGTTCTAACCAAGTTACAAAAGAAGAGAGGAATGTCGTCAGTAGAGGGGAGGGATGGGCCAATAGTCTCTATCTGTACAAGGACAGGAAACAGCTTCTGTTCCTCCAGGGATACACCTGAGACGACACAGCCTCTTACCCCCTTCATGGTCACTGCCGTCTGCACCTTGGAGACCACTGCATCCACTCGGGAAGCCATCCGAAGCCAGTTTAAACCTTCGTTCTTCTTCCGGATTGCATTCTCTGCATAGACACGAGCACATTCTACGTTCTTCTGCTGAAGGGCCTGGAACATGGAAGGGAAAAGATTTGCAGAGAGAAATCCATTTTGCTTCACACATCAGAAACAAATGTCTCCCATTTCCACCCAAGGGATGTCATGCAGAAATCTCTCTAGTCTGTGTTCTTTCCAAAGGGACTTTGGTGTTTGCTTGGATCGGGATTAGCGAAGCCGGTGGTAGCCAAACATGCTAGGACGGCTGGGATTAGGGTTGAGGCTAGGAGATTTGGGGATGTCAGGATGGCCTATTGCGCCGGGCACGTCAATCAATGATGCGGGGGGAGAACGTGCCTGCTTGGATCTCAGCAGTACATAGGTCAGAGAACGCAGGACAGCAGATTCTGCTTACTAGCAACACCTCGCTTGCTGTTATCTGGCCGCTGCCAACAAGCAGAAGGCAGGTTTGCAGGGCTGCAGCCAGGGTAGCCAGCACTGGGACGTGCCTTCCCTGACTGCAGCCCTGAAAACCTGCCTGCGGGCCAGGCAGCAGCAGGGAGCATGGCTGCAGCCCAGATGCTGGGGCTTTCTATGGGGAGTGGGGGTGTGAGCCGCACAGTATCGCTCCCTGTGCTCTTCGGGGGCTGGGGCTCAGCACACCCCAATGCTGCCTTGCCTGGGTGCAGCCCCTAGGCAGGACGCAGCCCAGAGAGAGCAGGGAGAGGTACGGTGCAGCTCCAGCATCCAGGCTGCAGCCCCCCTCCCCACACTGCCCAGCCAACAGCCTCCCCTCCCCTCCCGTGTGGGCTCCCTGCGCAGGCAGGTTTGGAGGCTGCAGCCAGAGAAGGCACATCCCAGCACTACCTTCCCGGGCTGTAGGCCCACACACCTGCCTGCAGCCGGGGCCTTTCTTCCAAAAGCTGCTGTTAATAGGCGCCATCCCGTTGCCAACATCCACATCCCACTAACATTAAAGTCAATGGGGCAGGGATGGCTCCCAGCCAAGTGTTGCCATTAACCAGAAGCTGTTAATATCCAGGGTGCTATTACGTGGAATCTAGTTAATCCCTCTGATACAGAGCCATGGATTGACGGCACAGGCGCAAGGGCTGAAAAGACACCTAGCCCTCAGAGACGGTCTGTGTGTGTTACTTTCATCTCCACCAGGGAGTTCCACCACCTCCACAGAGTTCAGCCACACTGGCTACCTTCTTGACTTTGGCTTGCTCAGTCTTCGAGTCCTTCTCGGCCTTCTTGGCTAGCTTCTCCAGCTGCTTTGCTGTGAACTAAGAGAAACAGACTTCGGTGCTCGGCCATGAAAGGATCAAACATTAACACAATCAGAGGCTCCCACAACAGCCCACAGGCTGTCCTAGCAAAGCGTGTGTACGGTGCCCACAGCGTCGGCTGGCACTGCCTCAGCTGCCTTTGCAGGCTGGCTTGTCTTTATACAACCCTAAAACGCAGTGAGATTGGCTGGGCAGGCGCCGTAGTTATGGACGGGACTGGGCATACAGCGGCGGCAGCAAGAGGAAAGGAACTCAGTGAGCTGCAGTAGCCCCTTTGGCTGACTGATGGAGCAGAGTTGGAGCGCTCTGAGGGAAGGCCTGGCTTCCTTGGCCAGACAGGTAGTACCTGTGGCATGGTACTGGCTAAAGCACGCTGTCCTCTCTCTCCTGCTGCGAAATACACAGCAGTAGCAAGCAGTGGAGGCACTTGAGATTTCAGCCCCTGGTTTAAGAGGCAGGGACCTAGGGGCTCTCAGTGAGGTGTCTGGAACATACTCCTTAGCTTGGGTTCAGGGACCTTCAGGGCACGCTCACAGGCTCACTTGTCAAGGCGGTTTCAGAGGTGAGCGAAAGGGACTGATTGGTGCTTGAGGGGAGTGATGGGAAGGAGTTTGCTTTGCACTTGGCATAGTCTTTCCTTCACGTCCCCTGCCATGCATGACAATTCTGGGTTGGGTTTACACTACCTATGTGGCTCCAGAACAGGTGATAAGTGTTCTCTAGATAAATAGCTCCCCCTTCCTGTTGTGGCTGGGAACTGCAGAGGCAGAGCTGCAGCTGTTATTTTAAACAGATTTTCATAAAGGTAAAGCTCTAGGGGGAGGGATTTGTGTCTCCCCTCTGGGAACGGAGGTAGGTTTGGTACCATACATATTCCGTCTCTCTACATTAGCACAGAGCACAGGAGAATATGGTCTATAGGCTCCTGTTACATTTAATCCAATTACCAGGTGAAGGGCCCGTCCAGCCTAATGCACTTAACTGATTTGCGGCTCACACCAATGGAGGTTAAGCACCTTATGCAATCAAGAGCTGCAATGCCACTTCCTTTACATCAGGAGAGACAAGTGCTTGCAACATAATCGACGATGTCTTCAGGGGCTAAATCACAGCATCGCTAGGGACCTCTGCACTGCTTCCTCCCCCAGAATAAGAGACACAAGTTCCTGTTCTTTCACCACCACAGCCTTAAATATTGGGATCTTTATGTAGCTGTTGACCTCTCCCTGGCCCCTGTGGACAGAAAGCCCAGTGGCGCCCCCACTCTGGGAGACTCAGTGAAGATACTGCACATCACACCCCTGCTGGAGGGAGAGCACTGGAAGGAGGAGATAAAGCCTTGGGAAGACAGGACAATGAAAGCAAGAGGAGTTGAAGGTAGGAAGGAAGGTTCTGGGAGAGGTTTCTCCAAGTCAGTGAACTCTCCATCAAGTGGGTGAGAGAAGGTCGGAGCAGAAAGCATTTGAGAAGCCAAATTTAAAAACAAGGAATAAACCTAGACCCATAGTAGCTGCTTCTTAAAGATGATCAACCCTAGCCTCCGGCTGTTGGAGGAGCCCACAAAACACCCGACTAGTACAGGGTCTGGTAGTCAGCTAGGCTCCTAAGCAGCCTGTACCAGGAAGACAGCTCGGTTTTGTACAGACCTACCAGCCATACCACAAGACACCATAAGAGGGTCTTAGAGCATCAGTTCAGCTGGGCTTGTCGACTTTCAATTGACCAAGGCCACGCAGGGCAGCCTGTGCTGGGAGGCATAGAATAATGAATCCACCATGCTGGGGCAGAAAGGGACATCCTGTAATGGCCACACTCACCTTCAGCTGGAAGAGTGTATCTGAAACAAGAGAGGAGGTGACTCAGATCACAGGTTTTTAGAGTCTCTGTCAGTCAGTAACATAAAGGTCACACAATCTTTCACCCAAGGAACTGTGCTTTGGGAGGTACCTTCTATGGTGAGTCTCCCCAGTTCACACACCCCCCCCTTCCCCTTAAAAGCATCACACCAACATTCCTTTTGCCTGAAGGGGGCTGGACAGGCTGAGGTTGTGCTGCTCACACATCCCAGTACCACCACCATGATTGTTCAGAAAAGTCTCTTCTGGGCAAGCAGAGACCACAGCCCTCAGCTGCCTCCACTGCACTCTCAGCCTTTGCCTGTGCACTGGGGACCCCTCAGGCTACCTAGCTAAGGTACTCCATACGGCCTCCATCACCCTAGTATGTAGGCACCTCCCAACCTTTATCCAGTGCCATTATCCCCCTGTACAAATGGGGAACAGAGGCACAAGGAGACTAAGTGACATGCCCAAGGGCACACAGAAAGCTGGTGGCAGAGCAAGGACTTGAACCTGGGTCTCCCAAGTCACAGCTAGTGCCCTAACCACTAGGCCAATCCTTCCTCTCCTGTCATGCTAGAGCACAGAAGCAGAAACTCCTGTGTTAAAGACTTGTCTACACATAGCTGACCAACCCGTGCTGGAGTCTCATTTGGCTACAACTGAGCTCAAATGACACTGACGCTGATTTTTAAACGTGGTTGTAAGGCCAGTGGTGATTGGATCATTGTACACAGTAAGGGACTGAAAAAACGACCTAGAATGGAATATGAGACATCTCAGAGAGCTTGTTAAAAAGGCTGTTGGAGGGTTTTATTGGCGACACTCCACAGGATTGATTCCTGCTTTCAATTTCATGACTAATCAATGAGGGTCAGGCATATGCATGGATAACAAAGGCCCTGAGCACCCAGGGTAACAGGAGTGCTATCTGAACTGCTCGGCTGGGGACTGGCTCAGAATACTGAAGGAGCCATACAAGCTAGTGAATTATCCCTTGGATATGGCTCTTTGAAATAAATGGACTCACTGAATATTAGGTACTGAAATATTCACTGTAAACAATTATCTACCATAAGTTAATGCATCCGTGGCAAGTATCACAGCATCCACGGTACAGCACAGTGGCTTCACTATGCAGTTCTCTCTCAATTTGACACACATCATGTATGGGACCTTAATCCTGGAGTGGAGCTAATAGAAATCACATTCTGTCTTGCAGCTAACAAGTGACTCATCAGAAGGCAGCTTCCTGGCTTTTACTGAAATACCTGTGTCACTTGTCACTGTGGTTTCTCTGATCACAATTACATGGTGACCTTTGACCCAGAACCTGGCACACCCCAGATATCCCTGTAAATAACTCTCAGCCAGCTTCATCCGGCCAGTTTCATACAAGAGGAAATGGATCAGTTCAGGAATTTAGGGCAACTTTAAATACATTTTAGTTTTCTGAAACACCTGGACCTATTTCAATTCATCAGAAAAGCCAGGGACAAACAAGCTGCCCTTGAGTTTTCTCTCCCTGACCAATGCAGCACAGGCCCTCGGGCTGCACTGACCCGCCCCAGCCCTGAGACAGGGACAGGGTCTCCACCCTCCTCCTCAGGAGCCTACTGGCCAGGACGACTGAGCAGAGCCCCTGCAGGTAACCCCCGGGACTCCCCTACGACCACAGGGCAGCCCCCACTCTGGGGTCACAGGGAACTCCCTCTCCCAGGTCACATCATCACGTGCCCTGATGTCACCAACGGATTTCCCTCTCCCTTCCCCCAATGGCCACCCCTCCCACAAGCCCACCTCTGACCCGGCCCTGACCCCCTCCCCTCCCCCAGGCCTCAGGCACAGCCCCCTGCCCCCACCCCCGGTCCCAGCCCCTTGACCTCCTTCCCCTCCCCCCCGGCCCTGCCCCCGCTCCCCGCCCCGGGAGCCCCTCCCCCGGGGGCAGCAGGCGGCCCGCGGCGCGGCTCGGGCCGGAATAGCGCCCAGCCCCCCCGGATGGGGGCGTCTTTCTCCTACCGTCCATCTCTGCCGCTACCACTTCCAGGGGCTCCAGACACTTCCGGGTTGTTGCGTCATCACTCCGCTTGTTCTCGCGAGGTTTCCCCCTCAGCCCTGGTCCGTTCAACGCATGCGTAAATGGAGGAGGGTTTTCCGCGGCGAAGCCAGGGTGGGGCGTCACATGACCAGAGCGCCGCTCCCCCCAATGCCCGCCTCCCGCGGGCAGCAGCCCACGTGGCTCCCGGCGAAGGGGGGCAGTGGGGGGAGCCAGGCCTCCTGTGTGGTCTTGCCCAGTCGCCCCGTTCTGTGCCTCAGTTTCCCCACCTGTAGAGTGGGATTGGTGCGGGTCCTTGGTAGCAGCAATAGAGCGGGCTGGAGGGAGCCCTGGACTGTAGGTAGGGGAGGAGCAGGGGGAGCGACAGGAACAGAGAAAGGCAAAGCAGAGCAAGGGGGACTAGGTGGTGGAGGTAGAAATCATTTCTTGCTGGTACTGCAGTCATGGGAGGGACACAATGGGGAGCACGTGACCTCCCCATGTGACTCCTCCCAGCCGGGGCCCCCATGCTCTCCCCATCCCCTCTGACCCCCCCCCCTTTGTATATACAAATGTCAACATGCTTAACTACTCACTTTGTAGTAGTTCAGTCTGTTTATATGGACTATGGGAGTTGGCTGAAGACCCATTTCAGCATATGTATGACTTATTAAAAGACAAATTTTAAGTAGAACTGTATCCTAAATTGCTTTATGGTATTGTACCCAAACACTGCATTTCAATGCGGGATTCAACTTCCTTTATAGGAACAGACTCCTGAAACTCTTACCAGTCCACAAAAGTGGTCCATAGTCATGCAAATAGTCCCATTGTCTTCAATGGGATTGATCAAATGTTTAAGGATTTACAGGATTAGGTTCCAAGTTTATAAATTGTTCTGGATGAAACTGACAATGCCTGAGCTGTCAGATCAAAAGGAGCTTCATTCCAATAAAGGTGGGCAGATGTGTGATGTTTTAGCTCTGTTGCTAAGATGAGGAACATATGTTCAGCAAAGTTCTTGGCAGATTCCTGAGGCAGCGAGCTGGTTTAAGGCTGTCAGCATTAAAATCTTCACTTATAGTTCTCTCACCCACAAAGCTGGAAAATGAGGCGTTTGTTTTCTTTGTTTTGCTGCGTCAGTTCCAGTTAACAAAATGCATGTTAGACTAGTTTGGCTGCAAAGAAGAATTCTAGGTACACTGGGGACAACACCTGATTCCCATCAGGCCAGAACTGGGCTGACATCAGTATCCAAACATCCTCTGGTCAGTGCAAGCAGAGGCATTCCTCTAATGATTTGGACTTGATGTGATGCTGTATGGCTGTCATGGATAATTCAGACCAATGGGGAGAAAAAGATTCAAAAACAATGTTGAAACACCTTCCGTCCCCCCCCCCACCCCTCGCCTCTTGAGGACTCCTGACCAATGTAACAGCACAATACATATACTAACAAACTTAAACTTATCCAAAGCCTTTGTTTAAGTTTGTTAGCATATGTATTGTGCTGTTAAAGTCATACAAAGAATGAATATCCTCCCTAGTCCCATTCTGCTCCTTTAAGGAGCAGAGTATGGGGGGGCTAGCCCCAAGTCTTTCCAGTGCCCTGTACCCGCTAAAAATCTCTTGCCGGTACTGCATACTGGAGGGTACCGCCCTACTTGCACCCCTGGTTACGGAATGGATTGAGTGCGGGGGTGGGGTTAGGGTGACCAGACAGCAAATGTGAAAAATCGGGACAGGGGTGGGGGGGGGGTAATAGCCTATATAAGAAAAAGACCCAAAAATCGGGACTGTCCCTATAAAATCGGGACATCTGGTCACCCTAGGTGGGGTGAACAGTGTGGAAGAGACAGACCCAGAGGAAAGGGACGGGAGTGCTGCTTTGGAAAGACTGAGGAGAGAAAACAGGAGGGAGGGAGGGAAAAGACAGACTGTGGAGAGAGGTGGAGTGGAAAGAGAAAAGGGAATAAGCAGGGCAATGCTTAATTTTTAATGAGAGAGGTGCTGGGGCTCAAGCAATTTTTTTTTACTTTCATAACTAATGCAGCAAGCCTAGAGGTGCCATGGCTCAGCCCTGACAACAGATTAAGCACTGACACAGGGGCCCACCATGTTCAGATTAGTGAATCTAATCTTTGCTCTTTTAAATTCATATTGCTGGCAACTCTGGCTTCTGTAGTTAAACAGCTGGAGAAAAAGGCAGGGAAAACAGCCGCAATTAATCAGAATGCACAGTCCCCACCCCAGTAGCCCCCCCCAAGCCTCCAGCTTGTTCCTTGGAAGTTGTTTAAATGTTAGAATACAAGACTGGCCAGACTGGGTCAGACCAAAGGTCCATCTAGCCAGTGTCCTGTCTTCCGACAGTGGCCAGTGCCAGGTGCCCCAGAGGGAATGAACAGAACAGGTAATCGTCAAGTGATCCATCCTCTGTTGCTCATTCCCAGCTCTAGCAAACAGAGGCTAGGGACACCATCCTTGTCCATCCTGGCTAATAGCCATTGATGGACCTATCCTCCATGAATTTATCTAGTTCTATTTTGAACCCTGTTATAATCTTGGCCTTCACAATATCCTCTGGCAAGGAGTTCCACAGGTTGACTGTGCGTTGTGTGAAAAAATACCTCCTTTTGTTTGTTTTAAACCTGCTGCCTATTAATTTCATTTGGTGACCCCTAGTCCTTGTGTTATGAGGTGTAAATAACTTTCTCCACACCAGTCATGATTTTATAGACCTTTATCATATCCCCCCTTAGTCGTCTCTTTTCCAAGCTGAAAAGTCCCAGTCTTATTAATCTCTCTTCATATGGAAGTCGTTCCATACCCCTAATCATTTTTGTTGCCCTTTTCTGATCCTTTTCCAATTCCAATATATCTTTTTTGAGATGGGGCGACCACATCTGCATGCAGTATTCAAGATGTACACGTACCATGGATTTATATAAAGGCAATATGATTTTCTGGCTTATTATGTATCCCTTTCTTAATGATTCCCAACATTCTGTTTGCTTTTGTGACTGCTGCTGCACATTGAGTGGATGTTTTCAGAGAACTATTCACAGTGACGCCAAGATCTCTTTCTTGGGTGGTAACAGCTCATTTAGACCCCATCATTTTACATGTATAGTTGGGATTATGTTTTCCAATGTGCATTACTTTGCATTTATCAACATTCAATTTCATCTGCCATTTTGTTGCCCAGTCACCCAGTTTTGTGAGATCCTTTTGTAGCTCATCACAGTCTGCCTGGGACTTAACTATCTTGAGCAATTTTGTATCATCTGCAAATTTTGTCACCTCATTGTTTACCCCTTTTTCCAGATCATTTATGAGTATGTTGACTAGGACTGGGCCCAGTATAGACCCCTGGGGGACACCACTATTTGCCTCCCTCCATTCTGAAAACTGACCATTTATGTCTACCCTTTGTTTCCTATCTTTTAACCAGTTACCAATCCATGAGAGAACCTTCCCTCTTATCCCATGACAGCTTACTTTGCTTAAGAGCCTTTGGTGCGGGACCTTGTCAAAGACTTTCTGAAAATCTAAGTACACTATATCCACTGGATCCCCTCAAAGAATTCTAGTAGATTGGTGAGGTATGATTTCCCTTTACAAAACTATGTTGACTCTTCCCCAACAAATTACGTTCATCTATGTGTCTGACAATTTTGTTCTTTACTATAGTTTCGACCAGTTTGCCTGGTACTGAAATCAGGTTTACCTGCCTGTAATTGCCGGGATCACCTCTGGGGCCCTTTCAAAAAAATTGGCGTCACATTAGCTATCCTCTAGTCATCTGGTACAGAAGCGGGTTTAAATGATAGGTTACAGACTACAGTTAGTAGTTCTGCAATTTCACATTTGAGTTCCTTCAGAACTCTTGGGTGAATCCCATCTGGTTCTGGTGACTTATTACTGTTTAGTTGATCAATTTGTTCCAAAACTTCCTGTAATGACACCTCAATCTGGGACAGTTCCTCAGATTTGTCACCTAAAAAGAATGGCTCAGGTTTGGGAATCTACCTCACATCCTCAGCCCTGAAGACCGATACAAAGAATTCATTTAGTTTCTCCTCAATGGGCTTATCGTCCTTGAGTGCTCCTTTAGCATCTTGATTGTCCAGTGGCCCCACTGGTTGTTTAACAGGCTTCCTGCTTCTGATGTACTTAAAAAAAACTTTGCTATTACTTTTTGAATCTTTGGCTAGTTGTTCTTCAAATTCTTTATTGACCTTTCTAATTATATTTTTACATTGCATTTGCCAGAGTTCATTGCTCCTTTCTCTTTTCCTCACTAGGATTTAACTTCCACTTTTTAAAGGATGCCTTTTTGCCTCTCACTGCTTCTTTTACTTTGTTGTTTAGCCACGGTGGCTCTTTTTTGGTTCTCTTACTATGTTTTTTAATGTGGGGAATACATTTAAGTTGAGCCTCTATTATGGTGTCTTTAAAAAGTTTCCATGCAGCATGTTGACAATGAAGCACCAAACCCGTGAGCTTCCAGGCTCTGCTTCCTTTGCAGCAGGTGGTGGTGGATCAGAAATCCCCTCACCCTTTTAAATGAAATGTGTTTAAGTATGTGAGAGTCCAAGTACTCTACTGGCTGATCCTCCGCCAACCCCAAGGCTGGATAGGAGTCAGTTTAGTCTGGGGATAAGGAGAGCCAAAAATGTGTTTCGCAGTCTCACCTCATAGTGCTAAGGTCCCTCTGGCAGCAGCATCAGTTTACTGTGCCTGTGATGATGATGCTTATTGATGAGTCACAAAAGGGCCTTGGTGGTGCAAGCAAGAGAGCTGCAGAGCCCAGTACGTGGGACCTGGACTGGGGGCTCATCTATGGGGCAATTCCAGAGCAAACATGGAGATGTGAGAGGTAAAGCGTTGTCCTTCCCCGGTGTAGTTTCTGTGCTAACAGAGACTGGCATCCCAATAGGGTAAGAAGGGTTAATGTTATGTGCCCGTTGACATAGTTAGATCCATGCCAATGCAATCAAGAGGTTATTGAGTATGATTTTTGTGGTTAAAGCAGTAGAGAATAGGAGTCAGG